GTTGATTATATTCGGGTGAATGTGATGAACCCACTAGGTGGTGCTCACTTGTGCCAACTTGTGCCCCATTATATGCCAACGCATAAGTCAGAGTATGGATCACCGCTTTCTGTAAATAGAACGACGGCCAAGCCCACCTCTTGTTTAGGATCAGGCAGTTCACTGTGTATCAAAGCTCGCCAAAGGGCCGTGTCACGTGGAAGGATTGATATTTATATGATGAAATGTGGTCACATGGACAGACATGAATAATTAGTGTTCCGGTTATCTGAAGTAGCAGGATGTCACAATCAACAAAATGCTAGTTCAGCTCAATATCGTGCATGAATTCATTGCAATTTAAACACATTCTAGACCTGATTCATGTCTAACAATGGAAGTGATCGTTTTCAGACTATGAAAAATGCGCATTCGTTGTTTTGAATTGGGGCCACACTATTCACCCAAAATAGGAATAAGTCAATACACCACAGATGTCACATAGTATATGTTTAATTTGTTCAGCATAAGATGAACAGGCCATGTGATGCGGGACAAACAAAAGCTTCTCAGGTAACAGCAAACCCATGTCTTGGTTAACAAAGAACGAAAAACAGTAAAACAAAATAGCACTTAATTTAGCTCTAAAGCGTGTTCGACATTGTAGATTATAACCACCACAGTCAATTTCCGGAGGCCCTTTTTCGACAAATTCTCCCGCAGAGATGCTCTGCAGCGATGAAATAGTTGGCTTTGTAGCAATCAAAATGAAGGCAACTGGAAAAGACTTATAGTTGGCTGATTGCCAAATGGTCCGAATGAGTTGGTCCACAGATCGTTTGGAATTGGTAGTCTCCAAGTCTCATGGTGCAAAAGCTTGCTTACTACCTGGAAACAAGATATTCAGCGTACGATTGAAGAGTTCTCTCCCCATTTCCCCGTCTGTGAACTTCAAACAAAACTGGACCTGAAGATTAGCCTTCTAGGTGCTTATTCGACTAACTTGTGGATTTACATCACTTGCCTGTATCGTGAATTGTGTAATCCCCAATGATTAATGCAATAAAGATATTCCGCGATGAAAGCTTGTTTTCTATTGGTTGGCTCAGTTGATCTAACAACCTGAAGACTGCGGTCTGCTAAAAACAAGTAGAGTGAGACGCGTTCATTTCCGGACTAAAAATTCACCATGCTGAATTTCTCGACAAAAAGGGAGTGGCCTTACTCGAAGGCGCAGCTATTAGACAGAGGAGGTAATTCGCACAGCAAGTACACTTTGAGAAGCATCAGATTCTATGTTTTAGTCTGTGTATGGTTAGAGATCAATTTGACCGGGAGAATCACGCCTAGACCATTTGGCAAGATTAAACATTCAGCCCGATGGGCTTACTGCTAGCAGCCTATATACGACACGTCGACTTATTTATTTTGTGTTTGGTCAACGGAAATATCGTTTTCAATCCAATCGCGTTTTAGAAATATCATTAAATACCGGGTTTCATCACAAGCTCGAAATACATGTTCACAATTCCTTTGTTTATATATCGTTTTATGTGTGAATAAAATTCTTGTCTAGGTGGACGAAGGATTTATTTTCACTGTGCAAAAGTTTGAGTAGTGAACCATGAAAAATGGACTACTCAAAATGATCGACCTTGTAGCAAAATGATTTCGCCACGGATATCTACGGTTGACTTCTATTCAAATGCATAAGCAAATAGCTCGTTGCACCAACTCACCCGATTTGGGACAAGCGTGTACTGCGTAATGAGGTTGCGAATATGTTATCTGCGTGGAGTTTGAATGTTATACAGCAGATCTTACACAGATCTGGTCATTTGGTAAGGCTTGACATCTCTAAAGTAGGCTTGGGAAGTGTACATATGCGCTGCTATCCCTTCACCTAAGTAACATGGATAGAAAGGTTGAACACATATGCCAGGACTGGTTTTCCATGCACTGCAGGCTGATAAATCACGCCACCAAACTGAAGAGGCTCTTTCTAGCATTAACTCTTGTCAATTATAGTTACGCTCTGGAGGATTGAATATTATCCGTGGCGCCAATTTGATCAAAAGGACACGTCGCATATCTAAGTTTGCAAGTGGATACGCCTGTGCGATCGAATATTTTTCAAATCCATGTCAGGTTTTTTTGATTTTGTTACTTGAGCACTTTATAGAAAGAAATAATAAATTGAATTTGCACGCTTTATTTCTTCTCATTTGGACAGAAACACTGTTGCCGAGTGACTTCTCCGTTCACGAAGGCATTTATCCGGTGGTGTGATTACTCATCATTTGGTTATACTCAAAGTACGCGTTGATAATCTTCTAACGACTACAGGCTACAGACTTACCACAGGACTTCTCACTGTAAGAAACGAGAGCTTCTACTTCTTCTTCAAGGCCAGACGCTTCATGTGTCACGTTAATATCGTGGTTTCGTCAGAAAGATTTATCAATGAGAGCATTTATAAGGCCCATCATATTCTCGACTATGTTGCGCCAAAGCGGACACCATGCAAATTAATCTAGATCGCCCTTTAAATAACCTCGATATCATGGCTTCTCCACCTGTTGCTTTCATGTGGTTATCTGAAATAGCGCCGGATCGTTCAGTTGTGTCAAGCCCTGCTAAGCTGCCATGTCACCCGAAGGCTGCACAAGGGCGGGGATACTGCCAGGTTAACTAAGCCTATATATGGGAAGTTGAGTTGCACAGGTCGGGTTCGAGGTACGGACCTTCCGGTCAGTAAATTCGCGCCCTCACCACTTGGTCCATCTCGCTCTTAATCGAAATAACGTGAATGTTAATTAATCCATCAGCAGTGTTTAATCTTTCGGCCATCTTTTCCTAGGCTACTAATGCGAAAAGACACAACACATAAGAAAGTAACTTGCAGTTTGTAATATTTCCATTCAGATAATAATTTGGCCAAATGAGTGTGCTTCCGGTTGCAAATCTGGAAAACTGACAGAACGGTGGAAGTAAACTGATATTCCTGGGTGCTTGAAGCGATTTCACTATCGTGCAAGTTTCGTAAATGTGCAGTGTGTGCTTTGGACAACTCAGGCTTCTTGGTTGATGTGAATTATTCTTCAACACAATCGCCGCAATCTCAAAATTCCTCCAACGGTTGTCACTTGATTCCACAAACCTAGATGTTTTTGGTGCTGCACTTAGCGTTCTTTCACTAATCACATTGTCTCACCATCGACTTAGCCCTAATATGAGTTGGCCAGTAAACCCGACACTCTGCTCATTGTTAGCAAGATCACACTTATCGAGCTACTTTCAACAATAACGAGATATTTGCCGTAAAACCGGTTTTACGAGAAGTGAATTCGAAGGCGAATTGCAAGCAAATGGTCACTGATTCGTAAGCTTATCCAGATAAATATACCCTGTCTGTGTATATGCTCTCAGGCTTTTAGTTCCTTAGAGACACTCTCCGATGACCCCTGAAACGGCACCAAATAGACCAAACAGATACTCATAGAAATTGATAGGTTTGAGAATCTCGTATTTTTCGCAAGGATATGTGTGCTTACGCATGTTGGCTTAGTTTTGGACATTGCTTTTTAAAATCAAGAATTAGTCAAAAGCGAGATCTTTACGTGGATTTGGAGCATTTGATTTTTTCATCTGAGAGCAGCAAGTTTGCATAAATCTTAGAAATTCCGTCTTGAGAATCTTTCAACAATCGTTTACGGCCCTACTTCATCCACATTGCTTTGTAACTAAACTCAAGTACGCAAACTAATTGAAATTACTCACATGCATTGTTGATTAGCTTTAACTGTTAGCCTGGCGACAATTTAGCTGATTCTAATAGCTGGTGTTGTTTATTTACGACAACAATGGCCTCTTCCTCATTCGCTATTCAACACCCTTCTCTCTAGCGGTGGATCAACTGGAGCTATTGGAATGTGGAGGCGTTTTGACATCTCCAAAGAAGATGCAACTCACTACGCAGTTGGTCCGATTCCCATCAAATGTCGTTCACCACTCTGAAGAGGAGCATGTGTACTCAAATCCACTTTTTCCATTGAAACCAATAACTGTAAACCTCCTTAGTCCGTCCGACAATCAACAACGGAAGTGTTCCTCATTATTTGTTACAAAGCTGAAATCTCTCTTGACGTACTCTTTCTATAATATACTATCCTTATATCTAGTGCATTTGTAGTTTCGTTCCTGTTGAGAACAAACTCGAAAGTCTCTTGTAAGGATAAGATAGTTTATTCGTGTTCTCATCTTACTGATCTTGGACCCGCGAGCTGCAATCCAAGAACAAATTTCTAACTACAATGCAAAAAATCCGAAACGGCCTTCTCATAGATCAGGTCCCCATTTTTCACTAGTCCACATACCTCCCATAGCAGCTCATATTGTTGGAGTTTTTCTGGATCAAGAACATCTGCTTTCCGGTCACTGTGATTTTCGTACCAAAGGTTTAGACTACTTTCTTAAGGCTCTGGGCTGCTTCTTGAAATTCTGACTTTACCTATCCTCACAGCTTCTTGAATATGTCATTACCAGAATGGGCTTTCCTTGTTTACATTTTTAGTTCAATCACCCGCGCAACGCTAAATCCACTGGGGCAGCTGTACAAGGTCACTGAGAATAGACAGTTGACTTATCCGTTAACCATATTTGAAAGGAAAGGTTTGCTCTATCTACGGGGCGTCAATGACCAAGCGATCGGTTCTTTTAGAAGATCCATGGGCGCCAGCAAACAGCATCACCTCATAGATGCATTTTGCCAAAATCTCAAGGACGCTCTTGCAGAGTTAATATGTGGCAACCCACGATCACATGAGCAACCTGCTTGGAACGACCCTCCAACATTTGTAGTTTTGGAATTTGTTGAACAGAAACCATATAGTTAATTTGAAACTGGTTGGACAAAGAGATGGTTTAGCAATATCGTTCGGAGATTACAATCCTTGTCGAATAAGCTTTAAGATCTCACACTAAAACCCAAACATTGGGACAGTATGCAAATCCAAAAACGTTTAGCACTGCACTTTAGCAAAGCCCATTCGTTCTCCCGCTTCATCAAACACAGTGTGAAAATTTCGCAGGAATGATAACCCGATTGTCCATTCCAATCCTTGATAATTTTGGGTATAGCCTGCTCCAAAGGTGCTGAATTCAGGATTCTGAAATGGACAAGGTATAGGAGTAGAACTAAATCTCATATCCAACGCGTTCCAGTAACGCGGAAATATTTACTCACGGGATTCAGCAGATCTTTTGGCGGAATTGTGAAAACACGTTCACCGATTGTTATTTTGAAATCTTTTACCAGTGGCACCATCGCCGGAAGAACGTAGAGTAGACCATTGCCTCTGTCTATAATTTCGGGATTTTGAATAAGCGATTGCACTGTCCCCAAAGGCATCACTGTGACTGGGGCCCCAGTATCCATGACGGCATGACACATTTCACACAGGATCTGCTCACCGTACTGCATTCTGCATCCAATCAAGATATCGTTTTAAAATAAAAGCGGTATTTAAAACAGTAACTGACGTTGAAAATGACAGGTAATCAAGTGGTCGCAGAATTCGAAAACACCAGGATAAGCATTCAGCTACACACTGGACCGCAAGTTAACCTGATTGCACATTCATTTTTATGTTCAAACACTTACCCACTTTTCAAATCTCGATGTTCCGTGCAGGCCGCCTTTTTCAAGCCCTTGAGAAATTTCTTTTGACGATTTTTTAGCAACACACGTTTTGCTATGCAGAAGACGCTAATGTCACTGTGTGAAAGCCCACATATATTTCACTAAAAACTGGTCGAGGACAGTTGCTGTCGTAAGAGGTGAACTCATCACATACAACGATTTCTAGAAAGTTTCCTGTACACTGATGCGTGTAAAGTGTTATCGCGGAAATACCCAATGGTCCTCCAAAAGTTGCTTGACATTGACACAGATCGCCGACATCTACCGGAGTTTGGTTGAACTTTTGGCATGTTCAGGTTACTTGTTTTGCTTGAGTTGGCATGGGCCCTTTCGTTACCCTAATTACAAAAACAGGTGATAGGACATCCCCACATTTGGGGACACTGGCTGTTTTTGATTCATTAATTTGTTTACACTGATTTCAAGAAGTCATCCAATGACATCTCAGTAGTCTCATTAGGAATTCAATTACTCGAAAGTCGTCGAAGACCACCGTTTCGGTCTAGATTTGTCGGTTTCACAAATGTGCAGGCAATGTGTCAAAATATGAACAAAACCCAAGAATCTCGTTGTCCTGTTTAAGCTCTTTTGCTGCAGCTATGGTTTATTCCAAAAACAAGCTAATAATCCAACATAATAACACTGACTGTCACGCATTTATGTTGCGTCGTTGTTTGGAGCTAGGGCTATGGAGGCATATTACTCAGTGAGACAGTAAGAATAACTTTAGCAATTGAATTAGCAACATGTATCAGGTTTCTCCTGACGATGCCCGAATAAAGCATGTAACAATCAGGGAGACACCAAAAGCTCACAGTTTCAGCAAAACGAAGCGTCCTCGTTCATATTCCAGGTAGATATCAGTTGAATAAGTCCAGATATATAAATCAGTCATATCTCATAATAGTGTTATTTCTGATTAGATCTGCACAGATATCTGGGCTTGATCAACCGTAGGTCATTAATCCGTACTGCAGAAAAATCCCACTAAATTAATATTTCTGGGTAAGCACCCGTCATTGCTATCTAAAAATTAGCTGAAACAATAATTGATGTTACAAACAGGTCAAGGTCATTCAGCGGCCAATATGTTCCGTAGGATTTCTTTTTAACAACGTCACACTAAGGCCTGTCTTACGTATGCTGCTCCAAGATCCATACTGCTTTAACGCCATGTGCTCCTTTCGGAATCTGGACCTGCATTTAAGCTTCAATCATTCGCCAGTTCAAAGTTTACAGATTTTCCGTTCCCCCTGCTACATTCATCCTTACCTACGTTCTCAGAAAACCACTGCGAGAGACAGCACATGATTGGACACAATCAAGTATGCAAGTGGTTTAATACAGGGGCTTAGAAAGGTAAAAACGTTCTTAAAAAGTTGTTTAGTGATCGTTTCTAGAGCCAAGGAATATCACCCTGCATGTTCCCAAATCTAGCTTCACCCAAGACGTTTCTCTACAAATGGCAATTCATATAAACAATAATTCGCGTTGGGCTGCCAACAATCGAAAGAGAGACACTTATACCCATCTCACACCTATGCTAAGATAAATTCATACATTTTTTCAACATTTCAAAAGGCACCGCAGCTTCCGCATGACAACAGCCGTATTTGTGTATATGGCAATCATATGTCTGATTCCTGAACAATAACAAACCTGAGCTAAATTACTTTTACGCGTGAATCCCAGAGGTTCGGCCATCAAATTCAAAATCTTGCCAAAGAGACAACTATGATTAGGGGACATCATCAAGTTGCACGCAAAGTTAGGATCTGTGTTATATCAAAGACAATCGTGCGACCGCCTGTAGTTCGGTATTTATAGAGCTTATTCCGGGTGAGCTTGAAAGTTTGGCAGCACGTGACGTCAAATGAATAAGGCCTACACATTCGAAACACACTAATGTCAAATATTCTTGACAGTGTGCTGCTTCCTGAAGGTACCAAAAGCCACCTCGTTAGTACATGATTTGTACAGACATAAATACATCTTACATATATCTTACGTTGCATGGCAAACTTAATTAACAACCACAATGTAATTTGTAATCAAAGTTACTGACTCAAGGCTCTGCAGACTGAGCCAACATGTTTCAACACAATCAAAATCTAGACAGGTGCGAACTGCCCCTTTCATTTCCAACAACAAGGTAAAACTTGGCACAAGTGTATAGCAGTTCACATTACCAAAATATCTTTCACTGGGTACTGACGCAGCCAGACAAACAGAAATTATCGACTAGCCATCCTTCGGCGCGTACGATGGAATCAACCTCTCGCTACCAGAAAAATGCACGTACATTATAAAGCTTTGTGGGCGTGTGAAACGTGGAAATAACTGCTCGTGAGTTAAGACGCCTAGAAAATCCAGAATGTAGTGCTATGCGGCTTCTATTTGTTAAATTAATTTTTGAGCTGTGTCTGAATTACTACAATCAATACGTCTGTCTCTGTCTTGCATTCTCGGATGCCGCCCAGCGCGCGTTCAGCCATAGCAGGCCAGCAGAGCGTCAAAGCTAAATTGAACAGCGACGAAACAATTTCAATTTTATTGTCAGACTATCGTAACAACAATACGCGACGATAAATTCACCAAGTGAGCCCACTGAATCGTCTCGTTGGTGCACGTAGTACGCTAGTTCATATGGTTGAACCTGTTAAATCAACTCAATGCACTTCAAAAGTGAGTGGTAAGATTGTTATAAATAACTGAACTCTCTAAAGGCCGGAAATTACGCTGCGGATTTGTTGAAAATCCGATTTTTAGGCATTGATCCCATCACTAAAATGTGAGTCTTTCCCCGCAAAATCTGGCCTGAACAACACTCCAATGTATTTTATTTAACCTGGCCCGTATACATGTTTGGATTTTTTTCAACAAACTGCTATTCATACAGGCTTTCGACAATCGCGCCTATGAACACATAAAAAAGCATGTCAGGATAGTCTTGGTATGCTGGATGTTCAAAAAATTGCCGATTGAAGCTCAGTCGGTGAAATCAGATACCGTCCTGCGTATGAACCAATAATCATTATACATCAGTATTTCTTCGCACACATGCTGATGATCAGGAATTTCTATATTTACCAGTGTAGTTATGCGTTTTTGTACATTTCAACATTCATCGCTGTCTTTCTGTACGCGTGACAGGACACGTAGGATCCGGAATCCGTCAATAATCCCATTAACATTATCGCCCAGTAATACTCTGTTTCGTTTTTGTCGACTTCATCAACTGGCGCTCCCTGACTTGGATCAGGAATCACGCACCCCCAATTCACCCAGCATATCGCCTACCGGGGAGCTTCTATGCCCTGAAAAGTATCAAAGACACTAAGTGATTAAGAATCATCCGTAAGCCTGAAATAAATCTGTATTTCTATGCATAATTTCTACAGCAGTGTTGTCTATACTATCGGCCACCCATAAATCTGGAACGAATGTTGAATATCCTGCTCTGAAACCTTTTATTATGGTATTTCTAACCCCCCACCAATGATTAAAACCTAACGCAACATTTGGTTAGTACGCTTGGGGAAACCGCCATAGATTAGTTTATTTGGTTGCTAGAAATTAGCTTTCTTTTCACATAAATGAGTTTTATTCTTATACGAATTAAACAAATGCGTTTTCTTAAACTACACAAGGTGCCTGGCTTCCAAAGCCATTTTAATGAAATAGCATATCAAATTGTTGGAATCTCTGGCCTTACTGATTTATAGAAAAAAATACGCATAATTTCAGGATCTTCAATGTCCCATAAATAAACAAGGCGAAATTCATCCCAACCACAAGCTCCAGCTCATCAATGTACTGATATCAGTTTATACAGATAATGTTTGCGGTTTACAGCTTGGTACATTTGGAACAGGTCTGATTGATACATTTTGCTGGGTCGCTCTGTTCTGGGTTTATGTACTAAATAACCGATTACATACATTCCAATGATGTATATATAAGTGAATAAAACCGGAGTCTATGACAACGAAGAAAGCTCCAACAAAATTAGGTAACTGGTTAGATGAACTCTTAACAAATAACATCTGTCACAAAAAACAGGGAGCTTAACAAATTCTCACTTGGTAATTACGATTCGCCATTGTATCCCTCCTTGCAATGGCACGTATGTAATCGGCCCCTGATGGTAATCTGCCGGTATCCTTCCAAGCGTTAGCTCACCTTTGTCAAACCAGGAAGACCCGCGGGTACCAACTGCGCTAAAAATATCACGGAAAAATCGTTCAGCATAAAACTACACGTCCTGTCCTGTAAGCAAACACGTGTAGCGCATCAATGCGTGATGCAAAAATGATTTGAAAACTTTTTAATTATAGCTTTCTTGTGCTGCAGTGCTATGCTCCTGTGTTTTCTTTGGTTGTCAGCTGCAGAGGGATACGCCTTACTTTTGGTTTTCCCCCACTGGTTTTGCGTCCTATTGGCTATCAAAATGTAGTAAATGATTCTTCTGGGAACACATTAGCTTACGGCGTTTCACTTTTGCCTATGGGTGTCTTGACCCAGAAAAGTGTAAGTAACGTGTTCCTGAATCGTCACACGTGAATGCGTATGGGATAGCAGTTGTGATGCGTGGAACTCTTACGACATTTTGAGCAATACATACAAAGATATAGGTTATGTCATCGAGCGGATGCCGAATCACACGTCAACTTATGTTGGAACAAGCAGCGAGGATGCGCACATACCAACGTTTACAAAATAATGACATGGTAATACCCCGACGAAAAAGCTACTCCTTAAGAGCAAATAAGATGGTCGCTAAACGATGTTGGGTCCCCAGTAAAAACACTTAAACTTATATTCGATAAAACTAGGGAAATAGTGGGCAAAACGGTTGAATAACAGCTTATGTAAAGATAAACGTACAAGATAAAAGCCATTTTTGTTTATTTCTTCATCTCTGAAAAAATTCTGCCTAATGTTTGACAAAAACAAAAATATGTCAAAATCACTGGCAGGAAATATGCCGGTAATCCGTCAGATTCCGGAGCGAAGAGAACATCCCCGATTCCAGAGATTACAGGATATCCTTGTCTAAACACCATCGTTCTACCATTTTATCAAGCCCAGTAATGCTAACCCTCATGAGAACTGTCCGCAATCGGATTCAACCGCATAACTGCAATTAATTTCAGCTTAGTACCAGCTCAACTAATGATTTTACTCAAAAACTTCTGAGCATTATGCCGTTGCTTCCTGTTTCAACCATTTCAATTTAATTCTTAAGACATCTCCACTAGAAATTTGCAAAACATCCTCAAATCTCGTAGAAAATGACATTTCTAACGTCTGCTGCATTGCGATTCTTTGGGTTGAATTCAGCGGGCCCTGACCAAATCCCATTCGTGTACTCGACCTGGAATTTTGCATTTTCCACAAAACTCGTCTTTCACCAGATTCTTTTGCAATAACATCAGTGTATACGGAATCGAATTAATCCATCACCACTGAAGGCAATGCTGCAACACAAAAACCAAAGGTCCGCAGAACCTGTCAACCTACCGATAGTAAATTGAGACAAGTTAGATTGATGTCAAAGACGAGTGAAAGGAATGTAGTCGGATAAAAAGAAGCATATAGAAATTTCTTATGTAATCAGGCATATCCTGGTTGTCTGTGATGCCAAAACCTCTTGATCTAAATGTACGACAAATCTGGAAGCCTCGAAATTAAACTTCTCTGCTGGTGTCCATCAAACTTGCCCAATGTACTTACCCGCAGAATCGGAATGTAAACAACCTTTCTTGGGCTGCTCCATTAGCCACCATATATTCAATCAAGGTCGTTTGAAATGTCTCATATCCCGAGCCTGGATTCGGTTTTCCCATCCCAAAGATTCCGTCAAAATACTCCCCAGGCATTACTTGACATGTGGACTCCAGTATTTCGACAAACGGAAATCCTGAAATAATAGAGGTTCCAAGCTTCGGACTAACACCTTTATTCACGGGAAAAACATACCACAAGGTTATCCGTCACAATATTTCCTCTCTGCACACCATCCAAATAACCGGAAGCATGGGCTATTTCGAGTGAAGTGCGAGTTATTGAGTTTACGTCATATCTTTCCTTTCCCTGTAAACAACCAGCTGGTAACAGGGTGGATGGGAGCCATCTGGAAAAGCCTCCTGTGTCAAACATAATTGTGAATTGCTGCTGTCCAATCTGCAGTGTTCCAACGGCGTAACCCTTAAAAAGAACATAGCATTGCAAAAAATCACTTCACTCAATTACCGCATCGTCGCCAAGTAGGACCAGTGTGTAGGCTTTGCAATATAAACTTGGCAACATAGAAGAATTAGCCCGGAGATGAACAACCAGAGACTTACAATGCATCGTGTAGCAATAGCAAAAACAGCAGAGGCATTGTCTTTGTTAATAAAACTTGCCTGTCAGTCAGTGAAAATTGTCCGGTACAGTTTTACTCGCGAACGTGGCTTTTCGCATATATTTGCAGTGGCCCTCATATACTCTTAATTCTCTGCCGTGATTGGGTGCATCGGTGGGTTTTTAGAAAAGAATAAATACTTGGGTATCCAACCAGTCATATGCTTCAAAAACGTTTTCGGACGGTCAGTTTCAAAACTGAAAAATAGCTTCGTGAAGTTTTTATTTCAGGTGACTCCAAAATTTTACCACACAGTGCACAGCATGTACAGATAAAACATGCACGTTTTTGATGAACTGTTTTCACTGACGAAATGCCAGAGAATAGTACTTGCATATCCACAACTTCATTAAATCAGTCAATTAATGAAATCAATCAGAGTTAACCGGGCGCTGAGCGGTATAGTTTATCTGAATTATTTACAAAGACTGAATTTTCCCCAGTTATTAGTGACTACTATTTGTTTCGGCTAATCGCAACCCATGCTAGTATATCTCATAAAGGTTGCTCGTTCCTGCCCCTAACTATCAGCATCGGGATAAAATGCTTCTATGTACACACCAACCACCCATTATTATTATTTTTCGTAATATTCGGCTATATCCCATCGCGAGGCGTCTAAGACAGGCAACCCGACGGAGTTGGTGAATTTCAAGTCACACATTCATCTCCGGCAACTCAGAGTGTGATGTAGTGCCCATTGAGCTTTGGGGCTCCTGTAACTACATTTGACCACTATGATGACCGGCACATATTTGCTTAATGCATAATGCGGATCCCCAAAAGAATCACCCAATGCCGATTGCATCATTAGATATGCGGCCGTTTATTGCATCCAGACCCAGAAAACGAACGCACCACCGATTGAGTTTTGCAAACAAACATTCCTCATGAAGGTATGTGGGTCGGAGACACATGCACCTTGTCCTCACGCTACAACTTGAGACGCAGAAACATCGAATGTGGCGAATCTATTGATCGTAGACCATCCCGTCTACCACAGATGGGCTACGATACGCCAACAAACATTGTCCTCACGATTCACAAACTGTCTTTGCCATATCGTAAAAATGACGTGCCTTTATTTCACATTAACTCAGATTTACAGATCTCTGGAATGAAGACATTCCGTAAACCGCCACGCAAAAGTTGGATTGACAGCGTAGGTACATCAAACTATCCAACGGGACCCGGGCCTTGCAGATTCATCCATTGGCTTTAGCTGTTACCTTACACTCAGGACTAACACAGTTTTCAAGATAAGTACAACACTCCCTAACTTCGAATAGCTCTCCCTGGAATGTAGAGCTTTTACCGACTGCAAGTGCATTAGCGTAACCTTACACTTTATGGATGCAAAGTTTTCAGCTCATCCACATACACCTGCACCATCTTCTCCTCCTTAAGTCCGGAAGTACGAGGATACAAAATATTTTGTTGTGTTCACAACTATGCGAGAAATTTCTTGATGGTTCAGAGGGTTAAGGAGAAACATTGCTAAACCGAGTCAAATGCGCCCTGAAAATCCAGGAATACTAAACGGTTGGGACGTTTGTGTGTGTGGCGTTGACTTGGCATCCGATAGAGTTCGGAGATTTGATCAGCGCAACCCTTTTAGACCGGAATCTCTCTTGCTCCTCTTGAGTCAGTGTTTAACGAGCAACCAGAAGGTGAAGAAACAAAACTAATGCCAGTAGTTTCGTTACGACTGGGAGCAACCTCATCGCCTTGTGTTTACTACACTTACTGCGAGCTTTTTTTTAAATGAGAACTATCAACGACCCTTCCTAGTTGTCTGCGGCAGTCTCTTTTTTGCATATGCAGCCAGGCAGCTCACACAGGCTGCTAAGTTCATCTCCATCTTTGGACAACGCGGGTCATCCAAAAATAGAAGCTCGGGGATTTTGGACTGAACATATGTGTGATGAACCTCCAAGGTCGTAGAGTGTTCAGCGTTCACCATCCACAGTTCTATGTCGATCATGGGCTGCAGATGACTAGTAGATGGTGACCACGATAAATGTTGTTTGAACTATTCGCCCCCATCAAGACACTCTCCTTTATCCATGATGGCCATTCCATAACAATGCTCCTTGGTTTTGATCAAAGTAGTGAATTATTCTTCGAATATTCCCGGCTTTTGGCCTCTTACATTTCCTTAGATTTTTGTGCGCTCCACACTTCACGGGTGATTCACAAGCTCACTTTTATTTGAAGTCTGATAGTTCGTCGGGTCAAGTTATGTTCGAGACTGGCTGGAATATTTCTTGGATAATCAGGCAGTGCCACCGCTCGATTCGATATCCAGTGCTTAAGTGAGCCTGGTAGAGTCATGTCACGGGAGAAACTTCCAGCACTGTGTGAAGAGGTAGCACTCTCATCCCCGGATGAGTTCACACTTAATGGTGGAGCGTTTAGAAGTGACTGTAGAATGTAACTCTGGTAAGTTGCGAATCTGCCAGTTTCAGTTGCCAAGCAACTTGTCCGCACCATACTTAGCACTAGAAATCGAAGGGAGAAGAGACTCCGGATGAGCGCGTTGTCAAAATTTAGAAATTTGTTTTCAATCCACGCTATCGGTAACTGATGGCATCTGTTTTAGTTCGTGGCTCGCGAGCCGTTGAAGATCAACGTGTGGTCAGATGTCCTCGGCTATATTGGAAGTTAGGGCTGCCTTGAAGCAGCCCATGGTCAGCACACTGATGAAGCTGTGCGCTGTACTTGCGCACCGTCTCCGGCGCACTTCGACCTCCCAAATGAGACTTAAATGCGCTAACCTTGCCACCGTGTGCAGTCAGATCTCTGTTGACTAGAGTGATATGTATGCTTTTTGCTTGCCGCAACATGGCATTCTTGGTATCATAAAAATTGACTTCTATGGCGTCAGACCTACAGTCAAATAGAGCGTAAGCAGACTCGCTAGGGTACATCGATTTAATTCCCGCTTTTGAGACCACTTCACAGACACTACCAGACGAACCACACAAAGGCGTCCATCAATGGTGTCGAATCGAGCAAGGAACCACTTACCCAGTGATTTCGGACAATAGCAACATCTGCACGTCCTGCTGCAGTGGCCTCTGGATCACCTGATATGCCTAACCGAGAGCGAGTAGAGGCTTATATAGCGGTTAGCCCAAACAATGCTTCTTGAGAACTTGTTTCTGAGACACAGCGCACCACTGACACGCGAGGCCAGTGTGACGATTAATTTCGAGGTGATTGAGAATTTTAACGCATAACGAATAGCAGATTTTTCTTGAAAAACCGATGCAGGACGAATTCAGTCATCAATCCTAAGTGATGGCTTTACAAGGAATGGGTTATCATTGAATTAAGATGTGGGGCTAGAGAACGTACGTGAAGGAAAAAGAAGGGAGGCGTCAGCAGTAGCTTGTTTCTTCTTACTCTCCCAGTCGTATGCAGCGAGTAGGACGACCCGGCTCGTGGAGTCGCGCGACGGCTGATATGACATGGGATTTTTGTTAGCTGCAAGTGGCATGGTTGTGCATGGGCTAGAATAGTGCCAGGACGTCTCTACACCTAGAAAAGAGGATGACTCAGAAACTTGAGCTCAATTAGGCAATGTTTGGCGGAACGTGCAAATGAATTACCGTTTCTAAAGAACAAACATCCAAACATGTTTTGACTCCCAACCCTGTGCACCAAGAGACTGTGTTCTGGAGTGTGATAGTATCTGCGACTGTCTCGCTAACATCGCAAAGTATAGGTCAGTAGACCATCGAGGCACACCAACTGTCACACTCCGATAACGTCCAACCTCTTCGTGACGGCTCACGCCCTCCTGCATTCCAGAGATCGAAACACTGCCAAAGCATCTACTCAAAAACAAAAGGCTATATCACGCCTTATATGGAGACTTGAAAATGCAAATTGCGGAGACGTTCTCCAACAGAAAACACCGATAGCTTTGACTCGACATCAGTTTGCCTGTCAGCTGCACCGCGACGGGACAATTCAGAAACATGTTCAAAATGAGTAACTGACTACCCCAAAGCATCTGAGTATTCTGGTGAGAATATCGGTTTGGCGGTACTGAGTTACACCAAGTGGTTTTGGAGTGGAAAATCTGTCGCGCAACAGTTATACTCCCTAGGCTTTGAGTCTGCTGTTAAAAATGAGTGTTATTCACAAACCATAGAACCTCCCACAAGCCTCATCTCCATCTGTAATGGAAGACACTATCAGTTGGGCAGGATACGACGTAACATCAAATGATTAAATCGTTAACCATGAAGCTCTTAGGATGAGAACACCTTGACTCAGCTTGTTGCGGGTTGATGACACTGGACAGCACGCCTTGATCACATATGCAATAGTACTGGGGCGTCAAACCGTGGTAACCCAGATTCCTATTTCTTTTGATAACAAAACTGCCTGAATCCAAACTAAGTCATTATAACACAAGTACTTGGTTATTTCTCCTTCGTTTCCATATCTTTCGGGAGAGGAAAGGGTGTTAGCTGGGACCAAACTCCTTTCAGCATGAGGTTTACAGCTGATAACCTGAACCGAAATGAGGAAACGAGGAAAATTCGTTTGTGTCAAAGTGGCTGGCCAACACTAAATATCTCGTTTACCAGACAAAATTTGTTCAGTCAGTTGAAGAAGAGCAAGGGAGAATTTAACCTAAAAACTGAGGACGATGGCGAAACCTGCGACACTAGTTTTGGTACCAACTCGCTCGAGCAAAACACCAAAATGGTTGCAGGTGATCGTCAAACCAACTAAGCAACACGTATTGTTATCCTTTACGTTCCTAATAATGTTGGCTAAATCC